TCAATCGCCAGCTTTCCCATCGTCAGTAGGTAACGGCTGCAATCGCAGTAGGTAGGCTTGACGCCGTATGAACGCCTACTAACAGGAGTAAATATAACTGTGCGTAAAAGGAGACACAAGCGAACACAAAAACAAAGACAGGGTAGGCATTGTCAGCGTAGAGCGAGACACGACGTGTGCAGTGCAGCATGAGAGAGCAAAAAGTGGCACCGGCAAGAGGCGGAGGACTATCGGGCACTAAGCCAATCGATAATCAAGTGCAACTATGCGCGGCCGCTTGCGCCCTTGGCGACGCCGACGCAGCCGACCCGGGAACCAATCCAAAGCGCGAGCAGGCTCCAGACCCACTACCCGCTCCCCCCCAAGTACACCGGCTTGCGGCGAGCTCGCTTGCTATTAGGGTTCCCCCTTAATCTGCTCCAGTTGGCCTCTATGGCGTTCGTATGCCGTCCCGTTGTGGGATTCACGAAGCCCCTACGGCGGTTCACAGTGCAGTGCCTAGAACCGTCGGACGATAGGCGGGCGTAACCTTTCCACTCATCGGTTACGATAGCACTACCAGCAGCCACCCACTTCCTTATGACGGGCCTCAGGGCCTCCCAGCTGCGGTTGTTAATCTGCTCAAATAGGGCTTTCCGCCTGCGTGTATCGTACATACCTACGAACCACAACCGCCTACGCGGTCGTCCCCTGTCATATTTGCGGCGACTTATAAGCGTCTCGTCTATCTGTACTTCCACGCCTGGTCCCCCAATTTGGGTTACGGCGGATAAATTTAAACTTAAAAGGGTTACGTAGGCCTACAAACTGCTCTCACCTTGGATACTTACAAATCCCATAAAAGAGCGACCGCCAAGATCGGGAGTTTGCCGACTTGCTGTAGGTTGGTGCGGTGGTGTTGGAGTACGTCCAGGTATCTCAAACATTGTTCACGTTATGCGTAGTAAACGGTGCATGCCGTGGAGATCACCGATATAACAAATAGGGAGGGGTTGAGGAGGGGGTCAGTAAGGGGCCGGGTAGTGATGCAATTGCCATAAGCACTTTATACAAATACTCTTACCCAACCACAGTACACCGCTGTCCGCCCGCGTTCCCTTTGTGCATCGTACGCATCGTTCCTATCTAACGCACACCACTTTCAAGTGCGGCGCCAATGATCCCATTGGTTAGCCGCTTGGCGGTTCAGGTTTACTCGCCCCGGCGGCCAATCACATCACGTCCCCGGCCGGCCCTCAGTTGATTGGTCATTGCCTTCGGTTTTCCCTATTTGCGCGCCATCCTCCCCCTATTTTTGACTTCATTAAAACAAAAATTTATTTTCCCTCGATTTTCAACATTTTTCGGCTTCTATCTGCCAATTTAGTGTCCTTTGCCGTTTGCCCCGCCCGTTCTTCCCCTCAAAACCGCCATCCCGTTGTACCCGACCCACCTAGAGAGGATTTCTCACTGTGGCTGCCTGTTGGGCTTCTGCCCGAGTGTCCATAAGGGAGAATTAATGAGTGGTTAAGGTAACTGCGTAGCATAACTCGCAACCAAAATATACACCGAAACCGTTGCTACTTATGCTCAGCGAGTAGTTCGGGTTGCTGCACTATAAATACTCGTGCAGTTGCCATTGAGATAGCTCAGAATACATTACGGGTGGACGCAAAATTAGCTTCCTTGTAGACTTTCCATTGAAGTATCGCTGCCAAAATGAGGAAATAAAATTTTCTTTCTTATAGCATTTGATCAAGCGTTCACTTCATATCTGATCGATGCTGGAATTGCACGCTGTAAGACTACGCCCACTGCGGGGCCGCAGTGCATGCTATGAAAATCTATGTCTTCGGCCCATCTAAAAAACCATGTTGGGATTATTTTTGCCGAAATTTTGGCAGGTCAGACAAATTCCAGTTGCCTATTCGTCCGGATATTTGACAATAGCACGGTCTGTCTAGGCTACTTAAGGTGCTCCGTCTGGGATCGGCAATACATTCAAATACACATGGTGCTTTTGACACTTATCTTTACATGATCTATTTGTGGATTACTTTCGTGTTTCCGGGCTGGGTGATTTCCATGGCTTTTCGCCCCCCCCCCCTCCCCCTCAACATCTATACCCATCACTTTTTTGATAGTACTGCCCAAAAGGTACTGACATACCATTTAAAATCGCGTAAATAAATACACAAAGAATTAACAGCGCTTTTAGTTGGGCAGGAGAATAAGTATGTCTCCGATATTACAAGTGGCCTTGCGCCAAATTCGAACCAAAAGGGGATGAGGTGGAATTAGTGGTAATGGGGGAGGGGGGGTTAGGATTAAAGTTAAGGCACGGGGATGGGCGTCCTCCCATGGAAATTGACGGGGAAATCCTTATTCCCACGTCCAACCAAACTCCCCAAGGAAAATGCTTACAGAAAATGAGTTTTTCAATAACCTTCACTGAGGGCAGTAAACAGGATGCAACAGCGAATGAAAGAAAATAGAACGCAGAGAGGGAGTGAGCAAGTATTGCTCAGTTTTGTTGACTTCCACATTGAAAAACTGTCCTTCGAAGCAGATTTGTCCAAGAGCTCTGACGTTTTGGTGAGTGTGGTCGGGGTTTCACACGGACCGGAGGAAACCATAAGGCATCTGGTCATTTGGCCGAAAGATCCATTGCCACGGCTAGAAACGTCTGGAGTCGTTTGCCGGATCTGGTGCAGTTGCGGACATAGCAACTACGTCGGAGAGACAAGGAGACACTGGACTCGGATGGCCGAACACGCAGCAGCAGTGAGGAGGAACGACGTCAGCTCTCAAGTCGTGGCTCACTCGACGGGACCCGGCCACACATTCGAACTCGATGACGCCAAAATTCTTGCGAGGTGATAATCGCATGACCCATGAACTCCCGGGGCCATGGTTCTCCGGTCATCAGTCGATAAAAAAGCGCAATGACCTCCCTTTAACATATTCAGTGCTATGACTTTGCCTACGCAAAGTAGTTAGTCACGCGGAGAGCGCGCGGATAACTACCGATCTTGGTGCCACTGTCGGGGAGCCGGCTGGCTCGAGGCCCCCAACTCGACTGAGGGCTATTGGAAAATTATCATACCACATGCGGGGGAGTCAACATGAAAGCAGTGGCATAACATATCGCAACACCTACCACTACCCTTATCTGACTTTTTCACTGATGATGGGCTCGAATGGGAGTCTGAGACGCCTGGCTAATAAAGCCCTCCTTCTTCGTGACTGCTTCATAAAACGGTAAAGAGGGATCAATGAAAGCAACTGCGAGCTGTGTAGTAGGGGGTACCACTATGTCAGCAAGAAACTCCATACTACTCAGTAACATACAGGTCACGCCCCGGAGGTGAGGTCCCCGTTTCCACAAAACCGAAGGGTTCTGTAGCCTCGAGCGCAGACGGCGGTGCGAGTAAAGTCGCATTCGCTTTGATTGAGTGACCGACAGGCGCAAGACGGGAACTACTGCCGGGTCGGAGCCACCGTGCCACGGTTCTGTCTTGTCGTGTCGTGTGTGGTGAGACAAAGTAATCCATTGAAAGCGATAGTGCGCAACTCGTCCATACAATAAGGGAACTTACTTACAAGTCATCACTACGTACCCCAGATCCTCCTGACCATCTCCGACCATGGTGTGGCACGCGTAGACGGATACTTTAGTTTTGTAAGACACTGTACCCAATCTGATCACCACTCCGCTGAGAGAATCGGACAGCTGACTCCTGCACGGAAATGGGAAACCCATCCACCAGCGCACTCCTCACTACAACAGACCCGTGACTTGGGCGGCTGCCAACTGATTGCGTCAACACTAGGTGCCCGGCTGCACTGGCTTTTATGGCACTTTGACG